GACTGGAATTGGGGCTGAACTGATTATAGGATTTTAACTTAACTGAACTGTTTTTGAATAAATGTGTTCAGGTTTTTGTTAAAAAAAAGAAAGAAAAAAGGTCCTGCAGCCAAGGGGATAATTGACAGTACCCAGTGACCCTCAACCCTGCAAGCCCATGCCCTGACTTATTTCACTCAAATGTATCTCACTTAAAATATATAGTTACTGCTATACTCTGTACTTTGTATAACCTGAAGTAACCATGGAAACCCTGTAATTTGTGGCTTTCAACCTTTGGTCTTCCCCTGTAAAAGCTTCTCTTTTTGGGTGGTTGCTATCTCACTTGCCCGCCATGCAGTGAGATCCTAGCTGGCCACCTTGAAATAAAAAGAAACCTTTTGCTTTTGCATCAGAGTGTCAAAACCTTGGTTTAGTCTCTGGGCTCCAGGAACCTGGCACAACAATTTGGTTTCCTGACCATGAAACTCAAGACCCTACCAGGACTCAGAACTCGTAGGTAATCAACTCCAACTAGTTGGTTGAGTAAATGTTTTATATTTTTCTGTTAAGTTCATGTTCCTCTAATTTATGTATGCTAGGGAAACAAGTAATAGAGGTAACAGGCCAAGAGCTTGGCAGATTTGCCTACAAAGCCAGGCCTGGGCAAGCTAGGAGAAGTCCTCAACTTCCCTTCTAGGGCAGGTATTCTATGGAGAGTTGGATCAAACCTGCAATCTAGGTCCACAGAATACACCAAAGCAGCACAGAAGAGCATTGGAAAGAGCTTAAGGTGTTGAGAGTAGGATTCTGCTTCTCTGAGCAATAAACAATAAAACAGGACAGTTGTAAGGAGGTATGAATTTTTTAAATTTTTATTTTATTTTATTAGTTCAAATTAGGAACAAGCTTGCCTCAGATGTCAATCCCTTCTCCCTCTGCCCTCCTCCCCCAACATCCCACCTACCCCTAGCCATCCCCACTCCACTCCCCAGGCATGGTAAGGCACTCAAAAGGGGCTCCCCAAAGTTTACCACATCATCACGGGCCAGGCCTAGGCGCTTCCCCATGTGTCCAGGTCAAGAGATCACCCTTCATATGGGATGGGCTCTCAAATTCCCTTCTTTTTTTTAAGACCTTACATATTTAATACAGTGAATTACCCCTGTACAAATGGGAAAAATTAAGTTCAATGTTTCTAGAACACCATGGCTGTTAATTTTTGTACAATGCTAACTGAAATGGGTAACCTGGGATACTATATCCCAAAGATGACAGCACAGCTAAAGTTTCCAAAAATTCAAATTATATTATATTATATTATATAATTTATATTTATATAAAACGACCAATAATGGTAGTATGTTATGCATCAATAGCAGCAACAGATTTTCCATGTTCTGCATTCATTTAATCAAAATTGTAGAGACATCCAGCACTCTCCATTAAAAAAAGTAAAAAACAGAAAAACAGCACAGTTCTGTTACCCTTGAGGAACCTGGCACCATTTTTTATTTTTAATTAGCTTGTCAATCATCATCTGGAAGGAAACCATTCTGAGAAACATCATTAAAAGCAGCTTTGATAAAGCACAGTCACTACTATGTATCATAAAGCAGGTCCACATTTGAGTGAGTACATATCATGCTTGTCTTTTTGTGATTGGGTTACCTCGCTCAGAATGGTTTCTTCTAGATCCATCCATTTTCCTGCAAATTTCAAGATTCCATTGTTTTTTCTGTTGAGTTGTACGCCATTGTGTAAATATACCACCTTTTCTCTATCCATTCTTCGGTTGAGGG